TATATATATACATATACACACACACATTGCTACATGTACTGCGTTAGGCTAACCGAGACTTGTCATTTGCACTTATATATTGTTGCTCTTTTGTTCGTTTTGACTGCTTTTATTGTCCTCATTTGTAAGTCGCTTTGGATAAAAGTGTCTGCTAAATGACTAAATGTAAATGTAATGTAGTCCTCAGCATGCCTACAAGCCATCCTCAGTAAAGAACCGTTTATCTGCTATCAGGACATCTAAACGCATCCTCACAGGTTTTCTTTCCAAGCCAACAGTTGGGTCAACTAATTTTAGACAAACTGTCCATACAGACCCACAGTACTGATTCTATATACAATCTTTCAAAAAATTTCAAGCCAAACAGACGATGGGTTTCCTCTTTCAGCCTTGGTTTCTCACAAGGTATATAATGTTACATTAAGGGAGTTTTTCCCCATGAAACTGTTGCCCTTTTCTTGCTCGCTGGAAAAAGTATGACCTGACCTAAAAGTAGGGAACCATCTGACCATGTAAAGCATTATTAATTTTATGAATGTAATCAGGACAAACAAAGTAACTGGCCATTTTGACTAAAAATAAAAACAAGAAGATAAAGATAACAGACACAAACTCACAAGATAAGTGAGGCACAAGTGAATGTTATAAAGCATGACTTTTAAGACAACTGGTTCACGTATGGTAGAAAGAAGAGAATAAGCATTCTATTTTTCCATTCTTTTTATTGGTACACTTCTTTTACAGACCAACTACTGAACACACAAAGATTAAAAAGAAAAAATAAGCACATATGATGTTTACTAAAAAGAAAAATATGTTTAAAACAAACTGCTGAAATACAGTTCTATAACGACAATTATTTAACATATTTCTCCATGAATTTCTTGTGGAATTCAGAGCGCAGGGTGTCATTAATGAAGCGTTTCTCTTTACGAGATTCATCCACTCCTTTAGCGCAGTTTTTAAACACGACATCATCATCCCACCTGCCAAAAACAAAATTTGAGAATGTGTTTGAGTGTTGTCAATTGTATATTATTCAGCTCTCTGTGTTTTAAAGAATTTGCAATTCAAAGACAAAGCCATTTTTTCACTTTCATTCAGGGAGAAAAAAAAAAAACGCACCAACCAATATTGTTATTATTACTACTACTATTGAATTATAAGAATCTTTTGGACCAAAATGAAATTTGGAGATGTTTATATTGTTAGTCTCAAGAGTACATAATATATAAAAGCTATAGAAATAGCAAACAAAGCAAAAAGATATATATATATATATAAAAAAAACTGCCAGCCGTTGCTTTTCATACTATACCCATCTAGAACAATGATGTACTATTATTTCTAACAGTACACTTCTATTATTGTCAATATATTATGATGAATATCACACTATGTGACATTAAATTTAAACAGAGTTTCCATCATCTTGCGTTAAAGCACATTACTGGCCAGAGGTTTTATTTGCTTTGCTTTTGATTTAATTCTTTAACTACTGTAACAAGGTAACTTATTAGAGAAGACAGAAAACCAAATAATCTTGCGTTACTTATTTTTTACCACCATTAAATTACCTTCTCTTCACACTGAATGCGTTCTGGCTCTGTGTTTTTTGTTGTTGTTGCTGCTGCTGCTGCTGCTGCTGGCCTGCCAGATTGAGCAGTGGATTTCCGCTCAGAATGTTCTCCATACGTATCCTCTCCTCCTCTGCTTTCTGTTCCCTTTCCTTAATTACACATAGACCAAAAAAAAAAAAAAAAGCAGCGATGACTTACGTCAGTAAGATATCAAGCCTAAGTAAGGGATAAACGCACAGTCAGTCTGGTCATAATCATAAAATAAACCCTGAAATGGTGACCAGGATCATCCCGAAGGGCTTTATTTTGCGATAGTGACCAAGATCGGTGGTAAATGGTCAGTGAGGTTCACCTTTTTCTCCAGCTCCTCAGCTCGCTCCTTTTTGATCTTCTCCAGTTCAGCCAGCAGGGCGGCAGTGTCATCATCACTGTCAGAGCCGGAGTCAGAGTCATCTTCATCCTAAAACATACACAGACACATTCTTCAAACTGGCGTCAAAATCAACCTGCATGCCTAAGTATCTATAAGAAAGTGTATGTACATCAGTGAGAGGATCATCAGCATCCAGGTTGGCAGCAGGAATCTGATCCAAACGTGGCCGTTTGGAGGAGGATGAAGATGAAGTAGATGAGGAAGTCGTGTGCTCTAAAAGAAACAAGATCACTGTCAATTAACACATTTTGACAAAGCCAAAAAATATTCACATAAAACATGCTTCCTCACCTCGTGCTCCTCTGTCTCTGCTCTTAACAGCAACTCTCTCTCTCTCCTCCAGCTCACGTCTGAAATCACGTGCTCTCACCTCTTCTGGAGCATCCTGAGTGGGCTGTCTGCAGGCACACACCCAAACATCAAGACGGGTTTAACTTAACACTTTCTCGGTCACACAATCAGACCTTTACATTTTAAAGGAATAGTTCATCCAAAAATGGAAATTAGCTGAAAATTAAAGTCAAGGTCAAGGTCAGTTTATTTATATAGCACATTTAAAAACAGCTAGTGTATGCCAAAGTGCTGTACATATACCAATAAAGTAAATATAGAGATTAAGAGAATAAAAGAAATGACTCAAAAACACATAATCATGCAATAATCAAGTCTGGAAGTGATGAAGGCGTGAGTAACTATCTTCAAATCCTTAAACGAGAGCATAGATTTTAATTTGGCTATTTGCCTTAGTTGAAAAAAGCTGCTCTTCACCACAGCACTTATCTGTTTTTCAAATTTCAGATCAGTGTCAAAAATCACACCTAAGTTTTTAGCAAAAGGATGAATGTTTGATGACATAGAATCTAGATTAATAGTGATATCAGAGACAGCACCTGGGGGTCCAAAGACAACAATCTCAGTTTTGCTCTCATTTAGTTGGAGAAAGTTTCTGCCAGTCCAGCCTTTAATATCTTCAAAGCAATTAAAAAGGTCAGAATAAGAGTGATCAGAGCTGAGAGGAATGTAGATCTGAGTATTGTCAGCATAAAAATGATATGAAATATTATATTTCTTCATGATCGAACCCAAGGGGAGCATATACAAACAAAATAAGATAGGCCCCAAGAGGGACCCCTGAGGTACCCCATAGGTGAGCGGTGCAGAAGGAGAGGACGAGTGTCCAATCATCACCTTAGCTGATCTATCGAGTCTAATTAACTCGCCCTCAAGCCATCCAAGATGTAGATGGGTTTGTTTCTTCATCAGAACAGATTTGGAGAAATTTAGCATTACATCACTTGCTCACCAATGCATCCTCTGCAGTGAATGGGTGCCGTCAGAATGAGAGTTCAATGAATGCACTGTTTGGACTCTTACTCACCCATTCACTGCAGAGGATCCATTGGAGAGCAAGTGACGTTATGCTAAATTTCTCCAAATCTGTTTCAATGAAGATAAAAACTCAGCTACATCTTGGATGGCCTGAGGGAAGCAACTTGTCAGCAAATTTTCAATTTTGGGTGAACTATTGCTTTGAGTCCACAGGTATCATACAAATTCTGTCCTAATAATTGATTATTTTGCCAAAGAGTTTTTGTAAAGAACAGCAACTTCACCTGTATTTGATCTTGGTGTGTCCTGGCAGGTCTCTGCTGGAGTACTGTTTAGACAACGCACTCAGATCACCCTCTCCTTTGCCCCGTCCTCCTCTTGCAGGCTCAAATGTTGGCCTTGCTGCTGTGGTCATCTTCGGTTACCTGAGACAAGTGCATTATAAGTTAACTTAAATGATATGACACACAAATGCCTCCCTCATGTCTGATATAGCAAAGGTTTAGGGGTGTTTCACCTGTTATAGAGATTTCACATAAATACACGTTTTCAGTCACAACTGTAATACTCCACAATTGCATTTGTACATAAAGTACTGTTGCTCATTTTGTAACAATAAAAAAAGTAGACTGTTATCTGATTGTTTATTGGATGTCTTTGTTCATCTTCCTTTTGACATTAGAATATTTATGTGGAAATTAAAGAATTGTTGTTATCCTCAATTTATCAATTGTGACAATGCATTGATATGTCATTTTAAAAAGAATAATGTAGATCACATTGCTTCTGTTACTAGGTAAATATTTCATTCTTCAGAGTGATTTAAAAGCCAATTTCGCGCATTTCCAGACCTTTTAACCAGTCCAGTCTCTAAAAACAAGAAAGATGGGAATATTGTCTGTGTTTAAACAATGTGACAGGGCACATGTGTAAGTGTACTGTATTTTTAATTTCTATAATGTTGACTGTTTGTATTGTTAGGTTTTCGACGAAAACACGCTTGCTTTACGTTACTTGTGTTACATTATTTTACACTCACCTGCAGCAGGACGATAAAAATCCAACCGTATACTTCCAAATGTATCAACGAGGCCACACAAATTCAAAATACTAATACCGAAAAACTAAATAAATAAGGCGAGTTTTTAAATTTTCTTTGCCATTACACCAGCTGTCGTTGCTCCTCACTGGTATCCCATCAACCACCGCGACTCGCCTACAGTCACGTGTATGTGTGTGTGGGGGGGCTGCGGGACAAACATTGCAGCGAATAAGCGAGAATCAAATACACCGCGGTATCCTACCCAGAGACCTCTGACATGACCATTATATACAGTTTTAGTTATATTATCTAAATAACAGCGTCTAAGATGCAGGACATTTTTATATTCCTGTTGCGCAGACCAGTTCAAGTCTTGGACCTACACTGACACCTAGCAGCATGGATGCAAAAGTTTCCTGTTACAGGTGCCATTGTAGAAATGCGCTCTTCACAGTCAGTCATTATTAATTTATTCCACAAGTGAATAACTAGTCATGTGATCTCATGCATGATGTCGGCTCCCATGAGGCGACCCGCTGTGTTTACATTAAAGAAACCACGAATGGTCAGCATGGATTTTATCAGCATTTTTATTCAGGCTTCATAATTTTAATTTGTTGTTTTGTTGTCTTACTTTACCGAACAGAGTAATAGTGGGTTTTGCCAAAACCAGAACAAACGTGGCCATCCTGAAGAGCCGCTGTCCTGCAGTTTAGCTCCAACCCTAATCAAACACACCTCAAGAAGCTAATAATCAGTGTTTTCAGAATTACAAAGGCTATAAGCAGGGGAGTTTTTTTTTTCCTTCCAGGGTTGAAGCTAAACTCTGCAAAACAGCGGCTCTCTAGGACCAAACGTGCCTACCCCTGCTCTAGGCTCTGATTGCTGCAGTAATGTCAATGACAATCAGTGCAGTGATTTAATAACAAACACACAAACAAAAATTTTGACGACTAAACTGAATGAATGTGTCTGCAAAATAAAAACTAAAAGCAAGAGTACATTTGAAATGGCATTAAAAAATGGAAATGCAAAACTATGACAACCTTACTGACTTCCCACCACTTTTAATACATCAATAAAGAGGACAGACACACAAACTGAGGTTTTTACTAGCTTTAATATTCCTGAAACATCCGTGTTGAAGAAAACAAAGTACAAAAGTGTCTGACAGTAAAAATATGAGTGCATGGTGGGGAGGAGAGACATAAGAGAGCCCTCACTCACTAAAACAGCAGTCTCATACAGGCCTGCGAAATTCATCTCTGAAATATCACTAATACGAAGCCAAACAAAACAGAGAAATCAGTTAATATACAAAACCACAGTTGACCAGGCAGTAAGACATGCAGTAATACAGTCTTTCCATGAGTGAGAGAGAGAGCAAAAGAGAAACGAGCACGAGAGAGAGAAAGAAAGAAAGAGAGATGAATTTAGCATCTATAAAAACTGGTCAGCATATCTGACACGTTCAATTCATAACATTTCCATACATTTGTTGACAGCTCTTCTGCTTTCCTTTCAGTCAGTTTTCAGAAGTTCTGAAATGTTTTGCATATGAGATCTGAGGCTGGGTTCAGCCAGGGCTCCTGTAATGGCTCTATACAGTTATTCCTGTTTTGTAAATACATGTGATTACTAAAACCGCTGAGAATAGCCAAAGAAAATAAAACAATTATAATAATAATTAGAAATGTTTGCATATGTGACATCACCAGAATAATAAAACACAACACAGAGAATCTGTGAGCAATGGAGGGTGAAGCTTCCTCACAGTAATGACACATCGGGGCAAGGGGTCATTGTTATGGCGTGAGGTCATTGCTATGGTAACAGCAGTGAGCTGCTGCTGCGGTCAAACTTCTTGCCTTTTGAGAGTGCAGCAACTTGTTTCATCAATTCTCTGTTCTTCGCCTGAGAGACAAACACAAACAAAACCAATTGGTGAAAAATATGAAGACTATAGACCCCTTTTCAGTTAGTAAACATTGTCAAAGTCTGCTTTATTGTCAATTCTGCCACATGTACAGCACATACATACAGAGAATTGAAATTGCGTTACTCTCAGACCCCTTGGTGCATACAGTTAACACTTAACACTAACAGTAGACATACAGACAAATACAGTTTAAAAATATATATAAAATACAACCCATACACCATATAAATAAGGACATTGTAAAAAGGAAAAAAATAAAAAATAAATAAATTGGAAAAAGTGGCATAAGGCACATGGCAGTTAGAGTGCAAACCAGTGATATAAACAACTGTGAAGATATAATGAGTGTAGTGCAAAAAGAGCTTATCAGTCTGTTAAAGTGATAAAGAACTAAAGAGCTCAGAGAACAGTCTTTAATTAAACTGTCAGAGAGGTAGTTTGCAGTACAATGCTGGATGAGGTAGTGAGCAGTCTAATGCTGCACAAAGTGACTGGTGCAGGTCAGTGTGTGTGTGCATTTGGGAGGGGGGGAGTGGAAGGGTCCTGGGGGGGGTCAAGGTCCGGAGGGGGTTCAGCTTCCTGACAGCCTGATGGATGAAGCTGTCCTTCAGTCTGCTGGTCCTGGCCTGGAGACTCAGATAGAGAAACCTAGCGTGTATAGTAAATAGTAACTGAGGGCAAATAAATCTTTAGATGCCTATAACGATGTACAAACAGTGGCAATTGTAAGCAAAACTAACTACTTGAACACACACCTGACACATAACATGGGCCTTCACTGTTCCCTCTCACAATTGCATTTATGGCAATTGTAGAAAGCGAGATGACACAAACGGTTTCCTTTACAGTATAAAAGGAGGTAAACGATGATACTAATGGAGCTCTGTGTGAGGACGCAGAGGAAAATGACTGTTCGGAGTACACTAGCTCACTTCCTGAAGATGTGAGCAATGAAATCTCAGATACATTGTCCTCATTTCCAATTGGAGACAGAGTTCTTGTGTGTAACTCCAGGCCGGGTGTGCTGAAATATAAAGGTCTCGTGGCGTTTGCGAATGGGTTTTGGGCTGGTGTTGCTTTGGATGCCCCTAACGGAAACCACGATGGAACTTTTAGAGGTGTGAAGTACTTTAGTTGCGACAAAAGCCACGGTGTCCTGGTCAGAGCTGAGGACATTGCACACATACAAAGAGAACATAGCAGTGATGTAGAGACGGGGGTGGATGAAGATCCCTTCTCAGATGAGGAGCCACCTAGGACAGAGAGAGATAAACAACAGAAGGCCACATCATTGGCAGATGGACGAAGAGGACATAGTCAGTGTCCTACTAGAGATGAGACCATACCTTCAAATACTACACACGCACGACAAAAAAATGAACCTCAGGAAGACACGTCAGATGGAGCAAGAAACCTTTCACATCCCTCTGAAATGCCCTCACCAAGAGTAAGCAACACCAAGCACTTAAAGGAATAGTTCCTCAAAAATGAAAATTCTTGAACCATTTAATCACCCTCATGTCGTTCCAAACCTGTTTGACTTTCTTTCTTCTTTGGAGCGCAAAAGGAGATCTTAAGATAAATGTAACTCTTTTGCATATAGTGGAAGCATGTACACTACCATTCAAAAAATTTTAGGTCAGTACGATTTTTTTGACAGTAGCAGTAGCATAAGACTTACAGTAGTATCTCACAGAAGTGAGTACACCCCTCACATTTTTGTAAATATTTTATTATATCTTTTCATGTGACAACACTGAAGAAATGACACTTTGCTACAATGTAAAGTAGTGAGTGTACAGCTTGTATAACAGTGTAAATTTGCTGTCCCCTCAAAATAACTCAACACACAGCCATTAATGTCTAAACCGCTGGCCACAAAAGTGAGTACACCCCTGAGTGAAAATGTCCAAATTGGGCCCAATTAGCCATTTTCTCTCCCCGGTGTCATGTGACTCATTAGTGTTACAAGGTCTCAGGTGTGAATGGGGAGCAGGTGTGTTAAATTTGGTGTTATCGCTCTCACTCTCTCATACTGGTCACTGGAAGTTCAACATGGCACCTCATGGCAAAGAACTCTCTGAGGATCTGAAAAAAAGAATTGTTGCTCTACATAAAGATGGCGTAGGCTATAAGAAGATTGCCAAGACCCTGAAACTGAGCTGCAGCACGGTGGCCAAGACCATACAGCGGTTTAACAGGACAGGTTCCGCTCAGAACAGGCCTCGCCATGGTCGACCAAAGAAGTTGAGTGCACGTGCTCAGCGTCATATCCAGAGGTTGTGTTTGGGAAATAGACGTATGAGTGCTGCCAGCATTGCTGCAGAGGTTGAAGGGGTGGGGGGGTCAGCCTGTCAGTGCTCAGACCATACGCCGCACACTGCATCAAATTGGTCTGCATGGCTGTCGTCCCAGAAGGAAGCCTCTTCTAAAGATGATGCACAAGAAAGCCGGCAAACAGTTTGCTGAAGACAAGCAGACTAAGGACATGGATTACTGGAACCATGCTGATGAGACTGATGAGACCAAGATAAACTTATTTGGTTCAGATGGTGTCAAGCGTGTGTGGTGGCAACCGTACAAAGACTACAAAGACAAGTGTGTCTTGCCTACAGTCAAGCATGGTGGTGGGAGTGTCATGGTCTGGGGCTGCATGAGTGCTGCCGGCACTGGGGAGCTACAGTTCATTGAGGGAACCATGAATGCCAACATGTACTGTGACATACTGAAGCAGAGCATGATCCCCTCCCTTCGGAGACTGGGCCGCAGGGCAGTATTCCAACATGATAACGACCCCAAACACACCTCCAAGACGACCACTGCCTTGCTAAAGAAGCTGAGGGTAAAGGTGATGGATTGGCCAAGCATGTCTCCAGACCTAAACCGTATTGAGCATCTCAAGGTCTCTAACATCCACCAGCTCCGTGGTGTCGTCATGGAGGAGTGGAAGAGGGCTCCAGTGGCAACCTGTGAAGCTCGGGTGAACTCCATGCCCAAGAGGGTTCATGCAGTGCTGGAAAATAATGGTGGCCACACAAAATATTGACACTTTGGGCCCAATTTGGACATTTTCACTTAGGGGTGTACTCACTTTTGTGGCCAGCGGTTTAGACATTAATGGCTGTGTGTTGAGTTATTTTGAGGGGACAGCAAATTTACACTGTTATACAAGCTGTACACTCACTACTTTACATTGTAGCAAAGTGTCATTTCTTCAGTGTTGTCACATGAAAAGATATAATAAAATATTTACAAAAATGTGAGGGGTGAACTCACTTCTG